AATGGAGCTCCCCAGAGACTGGGCATGGGCTTGGTAGCAAGACAGGGATAGAAAAAAAAGGTGCCCTTCCCAGCAGCCCTGTGGGCAGCCAAAAATTGTGACGCAAGACTTCACACCTGACGAAGTTTCCTCATTTTTTTATCAAAATCAAGCTATTATTAAAAACCCCTATCCATCATTTTCCTTGTGTTTCAGACGGACTGCTACCCAGGGATTACGGGTACCATCTATGAATATGGGGCCCTCACCATTGATGGTGATGAATACATCCCTTTCAAGCAATATGCAGGCAAATATGTCCTCTTCGTCAATGTTGCCACCTACTGAGGCCTGACGGTCCAGTACCTTGGTAAGCCTTGTTCCCAACTCCCTCAGGAGCTGTGGATTGGGATTGTTTACCAGCTGGGCATATTCCAATTATGGATTTCTGGAGGGATGGGGGATAGGGGTGGGAGTATCCTATTCTGCTGTATCCCAGTTCTACTTTCAGGGAGAACAGTGTTTATGCTTGAGAATAAGGAGTCTCTCAGAAAAATCCCAGACTGATAGAAGCCCTCCTTCCCTTTGGAGAATCAAATGGAGAACTAGAAGGGGCATTGAAACATAGTATGTCAGATCTGGAAGCTACCTTGAGACATATTTTTAGAAAAGGCCTAACAGAGATCTAGTCCAACTACCTCATTTTACAGATGAGGAAACTAGGACCCAAAATTGGCCATTTCAGTTGCATAGCTAATTAAGTACCAGTCAGGATCTGAACCTATTTCCTGACTCCCATGGGGTCCGCAGCTCCTTCCATTTTTAACACTGTGCTTCTCTGGCGCACAGACAGAGTCACATGAGATCATTTCAAAAGCCCAGAAGAAATGGCTGAACCAAAGGGTGGTTCTCAGGCCTGAGGCTAGCTTTTTCCCCACCCCCTTCTCACCCCTACCATAAGTTTGCGCCAGCAAAAATCCAGGGCTTTCTGCTGTTCTGACACTTTGAGATGTGTCAACTCCCATGATCCTATGTTCCATGAGGTACATAAGGACTGGGATTATTCTCCCCATTTGACAGTCAATGAAACTGTGGCCCAGGCTTGAAGTGATTTCACCAGGTTACACAGCAAGTTAATGGAAGAGCCAGGGCTAGAACTTGGGTCTTCTGCCTGTCTATTAAGGCCCTTTCTCTCCTCCTCCACTTTTTCTCTGGGTCAGAATTGAATGCACTACAGGAAGAATTTAAGTCCTTTGGCCTTGTTATCCTGGGATTCCCCAGCAACCAATTTGGAAAGCAAGAACCAGGACAGAATTCAGAAATCCTTCCTGCCCTCAAGTGAGTTGGGCCTGCTGGGTGATGGGGGGAGGTGTTTCCCAATTTCTGGGGGTCCTTGAGATGTGAGCATCCCTGAATCATGTCAACAAGCCTAGCAACACTCAGGGCCCTCTCTTATCATGGGAAGCCAGGATGGGTGAGGGAGGACAGCCATGGGCATCATAGTGAGCACTGGGCAAGGGATCCTGCAGGAAGACAGGATAGTGAACTATGGGTGAAGAAAAGGTGAGTGCCCAACACCTCTGGGTATAATGGAAAGGGCACTGGCCTTGGAGCTAGCAGATCTATGTTCAAATTCTAGTTTTGTGAGCTCAAGTACATTGTTTCACCTACCTGGTCTCAGTTTCTTTTGTAAAATAAGGAATTTTTTTCAGCTCCAAGTGTACAATCCTATTAAAATCCATTTTAACCCTAAGGTCCTTAGTAAGTCTGAATTTCTATGAATTTAGACCCAGAAAAAAAGCCTTCTGAGTGGGGTTTAATCATTATATCACAAACAGTCAAAATAACAATGGCTCAGGGAACTACTCCGAAGAAACGTCTCCATCCCATTTGCATCCCTGGGCTGCTCTGCCTTGCCCTCCCCACAGCCCAAGCCCTGCTTGGCTATCCTTGCTTGCTTTTGCTCCAGACCCATCTGGCCACATTCTTGTTCACTATAGGCATGTACGCCCAGGTGGGGGTTTTGTACCCAATTTCCAGCTTTTTGAGAAAGGAGATGTGAATGGAGAGAAAGAACAGAAGTTTTACACATTCCTGAAGGTGAGTGAATCGAGCAGCTTCTCAAGCACTCTGGCAGGGAGAACTGTTTAGGGGTTGAGGTAGAAGATTCCTTCTTACCTGGGCAGCCCCCCAGCACTGGTCAAAGGGCAACACTGCTGGGGGGTGGGGTAATAAAGTTAAAGGAGAGATGTGTCCATGGGTCAGTGGGTAGAGAAAGACAGAGACAGACAGACAAACCAACCTCACCCCCTTGCCCACAGACTCAAGGTAGCTGTAGTGTAAATAGGATCAGTATTACACCTGGAATAGAAATGAGAGAGAGACAGACACAAAGACAGAGACAGAGACAGAGAGAAAGAGACAGAGAGAGACGACATCTCACCCTGGCATCATCTTACCTGCTGGATGGAGGTAGTGGGAGTGGAGAGAGGAACAATCTAGGATTGGGGACTGGATGTTTGAGCGAGGAATGAGACAATAAGAGTCTGAACTTTTGATGCCCTGGTAGCCTAGGATATCTTCAGGCTGCTTTTAATAGGGAGGAGTCATGAGGCTTATGATTCAGGAGCACTCACACACATACACACAGACACTCTCTCTCTCTCTCTCTCTCTCTCTCTCTCTCTCTCTCTC